CGCGGGCGGGGGGGGGGGGTTCACCCTTTTTTTTCCCTTTTTTTATTTTTTATTTTTTATTTTTTTAGCGGGCTCCACACTCATTTGTGGGGCTTCTGTTAGGGGGGCGGTTAGCCCCTGTTTTCAGACGCTTTTTTCTCTCTCTTTTTTTTTTTTTTTTTTTTTTAGGGTGTATCATTCAAAGTATTGGAACTGAGCGTGTTTACAATAAAAGGAGGGAATTAGCCCAACTACTATATTTTAAATGGAAAGTTTCAAATTCATAAATAAGAACTAATGTATATCACATTTCAAAATTAATAAACAAAGTTTCAAATTTCAAAAATCAGATATTTTAAAATTTTATTTATAAATTAATTTATTGAACATATATTTTACTATTAAATATATTGAAGTCACAATTCTTTGGTCACAGTTATCTTATCAATTAATCGCAGATTAATTTTTAGTTACAACCTATCAAATTATTGGTCCCAACTTATATCTCGATCACAAATCAAAAATTTTATAGGTTAAAAATTATTTTTATTTTGCCGTCAAGAATCGATAATTTTATAGGTCACGGATTATTCATTGATCACAGAATCAAAACTCTTATTGGTCACAATTCATTTATTCATTGTAAATTATTATGTTAATTGGTCACGATTAATTTTTGGATCACAACTTAATCAATTGTAAGTCAGTTACAACTTTTAGATCACATATTCCAAATTAACCAATTATTAGTTACAATCAACCAAATAATTGGTCACAATCATCCAACTCGATCTCATCCCACCCACGACTACTACCGTGACCACTACAACCACCAGCACTATCACCATTCCTGCCACTACCATAACAGAGCACCTTCGCCAAAAGAGCCACCACTACCTTATGACAACATGTTAACACTATAGCTCACCAACAGATTCACCAGCACAACAGAGCACAACCGCCATCGGAGTCACCACCACCTCACGACAAATCGGTCAACATAGTACACTAACAAATTCACCACCACAATAGAACACCGTCGCACCGGAGCTGCCACCACCGAATAGAGCCACCAACAACACAACAGAGCCGCCGCCGCCGCCACCACTACCGGATCCAATGCAACGGAACCACAACCACAACATAGCCACCGTTGCCAAAGCGGAGTCACCACAACCGCCAGAGCCACCACAACGCACCATCCCACTCACATCACACACCACAATTCTCACCTCTATCAACCATGGAACAAATCCTGCCCAGCAACTGCCATCGTCATCGTAAAAAACTATCATAGCCACCACGACCTAAATCATTACACAACCATCGCTGTTGCGACAGCTTTGACGATTTCGACAACGCAGATTTGTCACCACCACGCAACCACCACATCACAACACATCTACCACCAAACAACATCGACAACAAAATCTCAAAGTCATTGCGTGATAAGCACGGTGTTGCGCACAGTTGTTGCAGTAATACCGAACATGACGGCGTTGTCATCGCTTGGTGTGGACATTGCTGCTGCTGTAGCTTCCGATGGTTGGTTTCTCGACATGGTAGACGGAGAGGATATATAAATTGAATAGAAATGAAAAATGATTTAGGGTAGGGTTTGAATTGGAATGAGGTTGGGGTGGAGTGGTAATACAGATTAATTTTTTTATAAAATTATTATTAATATTTAAAAATTATATTATTATTATTAGATTTTTGTATAAATAAACTTAGCTTATGATTTATGAAATGAGATCTTTAAAGGCAGGGTTTTATGTAATTTTCACTATCTACAATTTGTGTGTAGGTATTGTTATTCTATATTATGCGAGCTTCAAAATCTACAAGCCTAATTCATCAGTCCAACACATTTCAAGTATGATCCTCCATTAGTTTGCTTCTTGTCGAACGATACAACATTCGAGGTTTTGAAACAGCTCACGCGTATTAAATAGAATAATATTTTCTAGCACTAGCATTGATAGAATACTAGCCTAATTGAATTCTGTTGTGCAAAATTGGCCGTCCAACTTGCTGTTTATTCAATGATTAATTGACACTTCACTTTAAATTAACATGTCAAATTTTTCTATCACTTCCTCTTGTGCTTAAAAATAAGTGTCCAATAATGTGTCAGTTAATTATTGATGTACAATAAGTTGGACAATCAATTTTGGACAGCAAATCTTAACTCTAGAATACTAGCCTAAGTAGAATGATACGATAAATTTAATTAAATGTAGAAAAATATATTGAAACTTTCATTTAATTTTGAAATCATCATATTCATTCCAATCATGATACTTGCAATTTTTTTCCAACAATTTTGGTTGACAATCATACTTGATAATATCAAATTCATTCATTTCAAAAACTGGTTTTGAAATTAATGGTCCTAATTTTGACAACATCAACATTGTTATCATTCTTTGTCAACCACAGTTATACAAATAAATTAATTCTAATCTTCCACCTAAAATGGTGTTAGCATACTAACGCTAAATAACATTAAATTATTCAATATGGCTCATTCCGATGTTTAAAGACTAAATTAGATGGTATAATGATGAAATATGGAAAGTTAAAAAAAAAAACTTTTTGATATGTATTTAGCTTCCCTTTACAAAAATAGTATTTTTATTATTATTTAACTATAAACTATAGAAATGATTTACAGTGGGTTTAAATTTCATTGCATATAATTAATATTGGAATTAATTGATTGTCAAAATTTTTTATGAAAAAAATTCATTTTTTCATCCAAATTCTCATTTTGTGCAATTTGATTGATATATTTTTCTTCATCCTCAATACTAATAAAATATATCCCTTTAATAGACAATTTTTATGTAAAACAAAGCCAAACGAATACAATTCCAAGTGAAAAATTATACCAATAAAAAACAATAATTTACAATTTTCAGGAAAATAATTTTTAGGCAATTCAATTACTGGAATTCATTTTTTTCCACTCAAATTCCATCTTCGTAAGCAAACGGACCCTTAATTGATAATTTTCATCTATGCAATCACACACACCCTTTCCCCCGCGTGCTATGCATGATTTTAGCCAAGAGAATACATATTCACACGTGCGTACGACCATTTCGTACACACTATTAACAGTTTCTAGAATCCATCTACCGACCATTTTAATTAGCAGATAAAATAATTCCAATTTGGTTTTAGGGTTTTCATTCTATAAATCTTCTGTCCCTATAGAATCTGCCAAAATTTCCTTTGCATTCTACATTCTACTGCCAAAGAATTGTACGAAAATTCTGTCATCAGATCAGGTCAGTTTCAAATCAGCTTTTCTGCTTTAATTTCTTGTACACACAAATTCGTCTGAGACTTGTTTAGAGAGATGTTTTTCGTTGTATTCATAATATTCCTATGTTACTCTTGCCTTTTATTTTTGGCGATTTGATTTAATTCTTTTGTTTGGGGCTATTTTTATAGGTCAGTTTATTTTATTTTCACCAAAAAAAAAAAAAAAAAAGGGTTATCGATTGACTCGGAATAACTACTGAATTTGGATACTGTTTCTTTATTCTGATGTTTTCCCCCTCAATAAAATTATAACATGTAGAAAAAGAATGGATCTGTGCAAACTCTTGATCTATTTATTTTTTATTTTTGTATTATTGATTTCCAAAGTTGAAGGGAAAATTAAGGAAGCTTTAGAATCTGACAGCAATTTTGTTGATTCCGTTCTGAGTGCAGGACATGGAAAGTGAACAGTTCTTGGTCAACTCAAAAGGAGAAGCAATTAATCTTGATGAACTTTATAGTCTTGAGCCTATTCTCGCTGACATCTTCTCATCTGATCTTTCACAATACAACACAGTTGATGCTATAAATTCCCAGCAGACCAGCATTAAAAGTGAAGCTAAACAGCTGAGTTATAATACCAGTTGGAGTTCTTACATTAATGGTCCCCAACATCAAGAAATAAGTACAAAGCCTTCTAATTCTTCTTTTTCTTCTTCTTGTCCTTCCCAACTAATTTCTTTTGGAAAGTCGAACCAAACTGAGAATTTGCACAGGATACTGTCTAGGGACTCTTCAGTGTCCCCCCAAATTATAAAGTTTTCATCTTTGACGATGAAAGAGCCTTTGGGTAAGAAGCAATATGAGATGGGTGCAAAGAAGGTGCCTTGCAGCGTGATTAGGAGCCCTTTGCAAGCGCAGGATCATGTTATGTCAGAAAGGAAACGACGAGAGAAGCTAAGCCAACTTTTCATTAATCTCTCTAAAGTTGTGCCAGGTCTCAAAAAGGTAATTATATCTTCTTTCAGGAAATTAAAATTACTGGATTTATGGATTAGGGTTTCTTTATGTTAGATTTATGCATTCATAATAAACATAAATCAAGCACAAAATTGAATTTTTTTGCTGCTTTCTTTCGTATCACATTTACTAAGATTAAATCCAAAATCATCCATTTACAATATTGAAATAATAATTTCCTCAAAAACAAGCTTTAATTCAAGAACAAAATGAATAAATTTTGATTATAGTATACGTGGACCACATATACAAAATATTCCGACAAAATGTTCTTTTTCTGGAAATTAAAACTAAGGGAAATTAATTAACGGTTCCCCAATTGTCTGAGGGAAAGCAGAAACGAAATATATCAAATGATTCGTTGGAACTTAATTTTGTTTCAGTTGGACAAAGCTTCTCTACTGGGAGATGCTATCAAGCATGTGCAAGAGCTTCAAGAACGCGTAAGAATACTGGAAGAAGAAGCTGAAGAGGCCAACAGAAACTTAATCATTACATCAAATGCTAATTATTCCGCAACAAGAAATTCAATTCCTACTTTAAATTCTTTTTCCTCTAAAGAGAGCTCCATTAATAGCGGCACAAGAGAATCAGTCCCAGCTGAAATCAAGGCAAGAATTTCAAACAACAATGTAATGATTAAAATTTTCCACAAGAAACACAAGGGATTAGTATCAAGAATTCAGTACGAAATGGAAAATCTGCACCTCAATGTCTTGGACGTTAGAGCAATGCCATTTGGAAGTTCTACTGTTGATATAACCATTCTTGCTGAGGTAATAACTCTGTAATTAACCTGGCATTTTCAGGAAGATTTGCAAATATTTGTGTGTGTGTGTGTGTGTGTGTGTGTGTGTGTGTGTGTGTGTGTGTGTGTGTGTGTGTGTGTGTGTGTGTGTGTGTGTGTGTGTGTGTGTGTGTGTGTGTGTGTGTGTGTGTGTGTGTGTGTGTGTGTGTGTGTGTGTGTGTGTGTGTGTGTGTGTGTGTGTGTATGTGTTTGCAAATATTTTTGTGTGTGTGTGTGTGTGTGTGTGTGTGTGTGTGTGTGTTCATGACTTTATGATCTGATAGGCAATGATTTTTAATAAAATTTGATTTGAATTATTTGATGCAGATGAAGCGTGAATTCTGCGTGACGGTGGAGGATATTGTTGAGCACTTAGAGATGGCTTTTCTGAATAGGCAAGCTTGACCTACTTATGCACTAAAACCAAACTTCTTTTGTCTTCCTCATAGTTACTTTGTATTAGTTGTTAATCCCACGTTTTACATCTGAAAACCTTAGATTAATGTATAATCCCTCTTTATAGCTTCTTTTCATTTTTGACTTTATCGAGGCAATATTTAAACTTTATACATCTCTTCTTTCTAAAAGAAAGAAATAAAAAAAATTAAAAAGAAACTACTAATGGAGATTATAAAGAAAATCGAAATAGTCATTCTGAACTGTTCAATACAGTAAGACTGAAATTGACAAAAACCTCAATCCAGTGGAATATAAATGTTAACTCCGTAGTTAAGTATAATTTTATTTACTTCCTAATACATTCCTTAGAAATTATAAGAGCCACTATGGATGATTAACTGACGCCTTTATGAAATAGTCAAGCATGAATTTGTTGACAATGAATATATTTTTGTTGTTTAAGAATATTGATTAATGATCATGATGAAACTAATGTCTAAAAATATTATGACATTTATAAAGAACAAGAAAATATATAGGAATTATAATAAAAACTAGAGCCAGTGAAACGGTCGTTGAATGTGGAGCCACCAGCTCATCGGATGGCCCACTCTTACCCAGTGAGATGAGGCCACTTTGGGACTTGATTGTTTCTTTCTTTCCATCTCAAGTTTTGAGGTGGCTTCACCTCTTTGGGCGAGGATGGGACACCTGATGAAATGGTGGCTTCTTGTTCGTGTGATACCCGCAAGCGTACGGGATCGTTGACAAGTAATAATAAGTGAGTTAAGAGTTATCGTCCCATATGGAATAAATTCAATTTAAGTTTACTAGTTTCGTATGAAATTCGAATTATGAAAACAAAGTAAATATTTTAATTTGATTTAAACTAAACTAATCTAAAAAAGCAATAAAAATTGAGGTTTTATCAAATTACGGAGGATTGTATTGGATTTCCACTCCACCTATTGCTATTTATTTCAATTATTGATTCGTAATCTAATTTCTTTCACGAGTTCTTGACAATCGATAACACTGATATGTTAAATATTCTTTTCCAAGATACACCAACCTATGATTAACATGATCCGATCCTATTCTTAGTCCGAATTCATATGAAAATCATGCATTTAGTTTAAGTTATCAGTAAATAGATATTATTCCTAATCCTAACTATACATGTTAATTTTGCCGCGTTCTAGACTCATTATGAGTATTCCTACACTACAACGAGCAATTAACTATTCAATTGATGGCCAAACAATTCAATAGTGCAATGGGAATGTAAAATTAATCAAGTAACACACGAATTAAACTAAATACTTGTCTTGAATTAAAATAAATAAATAATAGGGTTCATCACATCCAATACAATGAAAAACTAGCCTAACATATTAATATATAAATTACAAGAAGAATAGAAAAATATCACCCGCATTATGAAAGAATACAAAAGATATTGATCTTCACGTCCAAAGTTGAATTCTTCAAAATTTGATGTAATTGAACTTCAATTCCTTGTTATGGCTTGATGTTCTCTCTCAAAATATAGTAATTGACCCCTTGTTCTTGATGGATTTGATGAAACTATTGTGTATGAAGAGGCAGGAGAGAGACCCTTTTATTGTTGCTCATATCTTGTATTTATATGATGAAATTAGGTCAAAATTCACGTTCAAATTGTCTTCCAAAAGAGTTTGAATCAAATAAGAAAAGTTGCATTCGCGCGCACATAATTTTGTCTCTACACAACTTTCAGTATTTTGGTCACAACTTTCTCTTTCGGTGTCCGATTCAGGTGATTCAAAGTACATTGAAAAACTAATTAAATGATCTACAATTCTTCTAAAAATACAATTTTTCCAATTCAAACGTTCTCCATTCAAAAAATGGGTCTCAAGTTAACCAAAAATCTTGAAAATATCATATATGATTGGAAGTCGATTTATGGTAATATTCTAATCATATCCCTTTCAAAATATCATATATGATTGGAAGTCGATTTATGGTAATATTCTAATCATATCCGTTTCTTTTTTGACTCCAATTTGCATTCAATTGACTCCTATCAATCTTCAAAGTATCTTTTGTGGTCCAAATCAACTATTAAATATTTACACTTTGGTCCCCATACTTTGGATTTGCTTCATTTAGTCATTTTTCGTTCTTTTTTCCAATTCTTTTTTGAAACATGAACTTTTCCTAATAAAATCAATAAATAACAAATTAGGTACTAATCCGTTTAAAGAATAACAAAATATCATAATTTAAGATCCCAAATAAGTGTAGAAACTACACTTATCACTTCCCATTCGACTGTCACACCACGTAGAATGATGCGATCGTCTCACCAATGTTTTTCTTTCCTATATAAAGGTTAGGAAACTCAAATTTAATATTTGTTAGCTTTCTTGAAGGAGAAAAGCTTATGTCTATCCACAAGAACAAAAATTATTTGTTTGTTAAATTTATTAATTGGGAAACTCATTTGATTGTCCTTTTCTAATATATTTGAATATTGCATTTTACTTATTTATTTATTTAATCCAATTTAACATACAGGTTCCAGTACACCTAAGATTTTATTTTATTTTATTTTTAAGTGTATGGAAGAAAATTTGACAAATGAAAATTCAAAATATATGAACCAGAAGGTGAAGGAAAGTTTAAAGACAAGGATTTCCAACACTTCCCAAAAGAGGCATGTAATAAAATTTCGACAGCCCAAAGTGCAAGAAAACATAAATGGCGTCCGCTATAGGGATTAACCATGCTGTACCACGGCGAAGTTTTACCAGATGCATTAATAGTTCTGTGAAAAGTTCAATGAAGTATCTCAGTGGTAAGAAGCATAATTTTCTCTTAAGAGTCATTTTGTTTATTACAAGTGGATCGAAACATTGAGCACATGACTTTTAAAGATACTCTTAAACATTTAAGGCAGCAACATGAGGAAATCTCCAGATTACATCATAATCAAAAGAGTAATGCTATTTAATACCACTTTTGTTAAAACATAAGTCTAGACAGCAAAAAATTGCAGAGGAAGGTATAATTAAAAGAATCAATTAATTTTACTTTTTATTGAACCTATCACTTAGAGTCACCTAATATGGTGGTGTAACTCCAGTGATTCTAGATAGCATTATTCTAATCAAAATTGGAAATTACGACTATGCTTCAATAGCGAAGACATAACTTCATTTAGTTCAATTTTCATGTTTTTATAAAGCATATTGAAATCGATTACCACTTTGTATGAGAAATGATGCTAGACAGCTAACTACACGGTTTGTCACTACCATATAAAAATTTAACTTGTTTCCCAAACCTTTTTCCAACAACTCTTTTGAAGGATCTCTGCAAAAGAATTGACCTTTCGACACTCACGACCAGGTTTGGAAGGGCTATGTTAAAGGAAATAATTCAAATATTAAGGGGGTGTTTGATAAACATTTTTATGTAAAAATACATTTTAGAATAATAAATTGATGTGAAATATGTGGTTGAGAAATAAGGCAAAGTTTTTGATTTGCGTGTAATATTATTTTAATAAAGAATGTGTGGTTGAAAAGAAGAAAGAGAAAAATGCATTTTGAAAAAAATGGTAACCTAAATGAAATAATTCAAATTACAAGAAAATATGAAGATTATTATTATTATTATTATTATTTTAATTTCAGCTCTCCTTATCATGAATTCCTTGGTTCCATCCCTGCTTCTCATTGTTGGTCCCAGTTTGCGACTCAAACAGCACGAAGAATGTTCAAATAAAGCACAAATAGTAAAGAAAACGATATTTATAGCCTTATAAGCACGGATGTTCAACTTAGAGAGCTTACCCACCCCTTGAGTATCCACAAGAGTGTGTCAGCAAGAACAATTCTTAACCTAATCCCTCAGTATTATAATAAGACCTCAAGAAATCTCCCTTATAAATGAAGAAGAAGAGAGAACTTTCAAGAAGATTATCTGACAAAAGCTGTGAGAGAAAGAGTAAGTGTGCAACTCATTGTGTAGAGCGAGAATGAGAGTCTCTTGAAGGATTTCAAAAGTTTCCCTTACTTCTGATATTAACGATGGGATCACTTCCCGACATTGCTCAATAGGGATGTAGTAATATGTCTTCTTCATGACTTACTTCTAAGTTCTAACAATGGAAGGCTTACACGACATGAATAGGAGCTAGATGTCACATTGACTCAATCTTTTGTCGCTCCATGGGTAATTATCCCCATTCAACAATTATTTATTTTAGACAGTGTTGCCTAATAGCGATATAATGTACTAGATACACCTTTCAATGCCGGTAGCTAAGATCGTTGGACCCCACATCTCGTCTTCAACTCATTCAGGGACCAAAGGCTGAGAATGTATCACGTGTTAGCCTCTTAGGGTACGTGTCCAATACAGAGAAGCCACATTTCCATTATTCAATTATTGTAACTTTTGTGGGCATCTGATTATGGATCCACCATCATGCCTGATTTCCTTGTTTAGTGACCAACAAAATGTGCACTGAGAAGCAATTCTCAACAATCTCCACCTTCACCGGATCGAACGAGACTGACTTTGATTTCTCTTTCCTCCAATTTCATTTACTTTTGTACCTGCATGCAAGAAATCACCCAGTGTTAAGATTAATGAGACTTAAATAATCTCTAAACTTATTTATTGGTAAAATCTTAGTTTCTATTCCAGCAGGGTTGCACTTGGTAGAATTTGTCTCAATTTAATAATGCCTTGGTCAAGAACATCTCTAATGAAGTGAAATTGACATCAATATATCGTTATCACGAAAGACGTGATTTTTACTAAAGTGGATTGCACTTTGACTGTCAAGAGTATAAAACAATATCATTCCCAATGAATCCTAACTCAGTTAATGGCTCCATAAGCTAGATACCATCTTTCACTGCATCAGTGGCAACAATGTACACGGCTTCTGTTGATGACAGTGAAGCAATTTATTTAGATGGGTTTCGGCTTATACAGGTGTCATTTAAAGTGTAAAAGTGTGCACAAGTAGATTTTCAATTGTAATTATGACGTGAAAATTTTGAATCTACCAAGTCTTTAATTGTGACTCTCTTGTTGCTCATTTTGAACTCAAATACTAATATAATGATCCGTT